TATTTATTTATATATTATATTTTAGTATATATATTTTATGTAAAATTTTTTAATATTTATTTTTATATATTTTATATATTATTTTATATATATATATATATATATATGTTATGTTTGTATTGTATTGCATTGATTGTTATTATATGAAATTATATATGTATATGTATATGTCATGCGAATATGTAAAACTGGCATTAGCAAGAACTCATTTAAAATTAAGTCCTTTTTAAAATTTTTTTCTTATACGTTTTTAAAAATATATTTTTTTCTTAATGTTAATGTAAACATTTTTAAATTTTTCTCCCAAAAGAATGTTAGAAAATTACCTACCTTATTTTAACAAGAACAATTTATTTTTGCCTAACCCAATAAAATATTTTAGATTTGTTTACAAAAAATTTAATACTAAAAAAAAGGAAGGAAAAATTTTTTTTTCTTTAGGTTCAGAATGATTTTGGCGAAATTATTGCATACACAAATTTTCGCTTGTCCTATATGGCAAGATGAGCGTTGCTATTTAAGCCAAGATCGCAAGTTCTGCCTATTCGGCACAACATATACGTATATATATATATATACTATATATATATATTGTAGGTAGTAGGTTGGTAGACAGCAACCATCCAGGGGGCTACTACTGTCCTGCCAAGTGAGTGTGAAACGAAAGCCTGTAATTGTTTTACATGATGGTAGGATTGCTGGTGTCTTTTGTCTGTCTCATAAATATGCAAGATTACAGGTATGTGTTGCTACTTCTACTTACACTTAGGTCACACTACACATACATGTACAAGCATATATATACACACACCCATCTGGGTTTTCTGCTATTTTCTTTCTAGTTCTTGTTCTTGTTTATTTCCTCTTATGTCCATGGGGAAGTGGAATAGAATTCTTCCTCCGTAAGCCATGCGTGTTGTAAGAGGCGACTAAAATGGAGGAAGCAAGGGGCTAGTAACCCCTTCTCCCATATAAATTACTAAATTTAAAAGAGAAACTTTCATTTTTCCTTTTGGGCCACCCTGCCTTGGTGGGATACGGCCGGTGTGTTGAAAGAAAGAAGAATATATATATTGTAAGTAGTAGGTTGGTAGACAGCAACCATCCAGGGGGGTACTACCGCCCTGCCAAGTGAGTGTGAAATGAAAGCCTGTAATTGTTTTACATGATGGTAGGATTGCTGGTGTCTTTTGTGTGTCTCGTAAATATGCAAGATTACAGGTACGTCTTGCTACTTCTACTTACACTTAGGTCACACTACACATACATGTACAAGCATATATATACACACCCCTCTGGGTTTTCTGCTATTTTCTTTCTAGTTCTTGTTCTTGTTTATTTCCTGCTATCTCCATGGGGAAGTGGAACAGAATTCTTCCTCCGTAAGCCATGTGTGTTGTAAGAGGCAACTAAAATGCCGGGGGCAAGGGGCTAGTAACCCCTTCTCCTGTATATATTAGTAAATGTAAAAGGAGAAACTTTAATTTTTCCTTTTGGGCCACCCTGCTCAGTGGGATACGGCCGGTGTGTTGAAAGAAAGAAGTTTAGTACCTCTCTAAATTATCTTAGGTGCAGCAGGAGCAGTGACTCAATCCCTGCAACCACATATGAGTACATTAATTACCTTCTTTTCAAGCTTTACATTAAAATGTGTTAACATAAATATCAAGAGTGGTTGTGGTGGGACACATGAGTGCTAAAGTGGAGAAAACAGTTATAGAGGGTGTGGTAGGTAAGTTTAGGGTTTTAGGTGTAAATGATAATGGGGGGCTTCTGATTGAGCTTAGTACAGAAAGGGGGTTTGTAATACATAATACATATTTTAAGAAAAAAGGAATAAATAAGTACACAAGATACGATACAGTGCATAATGACAGTAGTTTGTTGGACTATGTATTGGTAGATAAAAGACTGTTGAGTGGACTTCAGGATGTGCATGTTTATTGAGGGGCCACAGATACATCAGACCATTTTTTCAGTTGTAGCTACAGTGAGAGTTAAAGGTAGATGGAATACAAGAAGAATGGCATCAGCAAGTAAGAGAGGTGCAAAGGCTTATAAACTAAAGGAGGAGGCAGTTAGGGTAAGATATAAACAACTACTGGAAGGAAAATGGACTAGTGAGAGTATAGGCAATGAGGTTCAAGATGTATGGGATAGATTAAAGAATGTAGTGTTAGAGTGTTCAGCAGAAGTGTGTAGTTACAGGAAAGTGGGTGTGGGAGGGAAGAAAAGTGACTGGTGGAATGATGAGGTTCTTACAAAGTAGAAGTGATGCAAGGAGGGAGGAGTATATGGGGGGAAAAAGAAAGCTTAAGAAAGTGGTGAAGGAATGTAAAAGGAGAGCAAATAAGAGAGTGAGATGCTATCAACAAATTTTGCTGAGAATAAGATATTAATAAGTTGAGAAAGAGTTGGGAATGAATGGATATGACAGTTAAAAATTGGAGAGGAGAATTATTAAATGGAATGTCAGAAGAATTGGGAATATGGAGGAAATATTTTGAGGAACTTAAGTGTTGATGAAGATAGGGAAGTTGTGATTTCATGTACTAGGCAGGGAGGTATAACATCTTGTAGAAGCTAGGAAGAGCCAAGTGTGAGTGTGGGGAGGTGCGTGAAGCAGTGGGTAGAATGAAAGGGCGTAAAGCAGCTGGGATTGATGGGATAAAGACAGAAATGTTAAAAGCAGGTGGGGAGATAGTTTTGGAATGGTAAGTGCTTTTATTTAATAAATGTATGGAAGACAGGAAGGTACCTAAGGAATGGCAAAGAGAATGTATAATTCCTTTGCATAAAGGCAAAGGGGACAAAAGAGAATGTAAAAATTATAGGGGATTAAGCCTGTTCAGACCTAGGTAGTAGGTTGGTAGACAGCAACCACTCAGGAAGGTACTACAGTGGACCCCCGCATAACGATCACCTCCGAATGCGACCAATTATGTAAGTGTATTTATGTAAGTGCGTTTGTACGTGTATGTTTGCGGGTCTGAAATGGACTAATGTACTTCACAATATTCCTTATGGGAACAAATTCGGTCAGTACTGGCACCTGAACATACTTCTGGAGTGACAAAATATCGTTAACCGGGGGTCCAGTGTACTGTCCTGCCAAGTGAGTGTAAAACAAAAGCTTGTAATTGTTTTACGTGATGGTTGGACTGCTGGTGTCTTTTGTTCTGTCTCATAAACGTGCAAGATTTCAGGTACATCTTGCTACTTCTACTTCCACTTAGGTCACATTACACATGCATGTGCAAGCATATATATACACACCCCTCTGGGCTTTTTTCTATTTTCTTACTAGTTTTGGTTCTTGTTTATTTCCTCTTATCTCCATGGGTGAGTGAAACAGAATTCTTCCTCCTTAAGCCATGCGTGTTGTAAGAAGCTACTAAAATCCCCGGAGCAAGGAGCTAGTAACCCCTTCTCCTGTATACATTACTAAATGTAAAAGAAGAAACTTGCGTTTTTCTTTTGGGCCATCCCGCCTCAGTGGGATATGGTCAGTGTGTTGAAAGAAACAAGAAGAAGCCTGTTCAGTATACTTGGTAAAGGGTATGGTAGAGTTATTATTAAAAGAATTAAAAGTAAGACGAAGAGTAGGATCGCAGAAGAAGAAGGAGGCTTTAGGAAGCGTTGGAGGCGTGTAGACCAAGTGTTTACAGTGAACATATAGGTGAACAGTATTTAGATAAGGGTAAAGAGGTTTCTGTTGCATTTATGGATTTGGAAAAGGCATATGCTAGAGTGGACAGGGGAGCAATATGGCAGACATTGCAAATGTATAGAATAGGTGATAAGTTACTGACAGCAGTTAAAAGTTTTTACGAGGATAATGAGGCTCAGGTTAAGAGTATATAGGAGAGAGGGAGGTTATTTCCTAGTAAAAGTAGGACTTAGACAGGGATGCATGATGTCACCATGATTGTTCAATATATTTATAGATGGGGCTGCAAGAGACGTGAATACTTGAGTGCTGGCAAGAGGTGTGGGATTAAAAGAGAGAATCTAACACAAAGTGGAAGTTGTCACAGTTGCTTTTTGCTGATGACACTGTGCTCTTGCGAGATCCTGAAGAAAAGCTGCAGAAGTTGGTGAGCAAGTTTGGAAGGGAATGCAAAAGAAGAAAATTAAAAGTGAACACAGGAAAGAGCAAGGCGATGAGGATGAGGTGAATCATAGAACTGATGAGGGGAAACAGGTGAGTGAAACACTGAGGAGTCTGTGGAGACAAAGAACATTATCCATGGAAGCAAAGAGGGGAATGTATGAGAGTATAGTGGTACCAACGCTCTTATATGGGTAAGAAGCATGGATGGTGAATGTTGCAGCAAGAAGAAGGCTGGAGGCAGTAGACATGTATCTGAGAGCAATGTATGGTGTGAATATAATGCAGAGAATCCATAACTTGGAGATTAGATTAGGTGCAGGTTTCTAGAAGTGTTATCCAGAGGGCAGAGGAGGGGTTGTTGAGGTGGTTCAGACATTTTGAGAGGATGGAACAAAATAGAATGACTTGGAGGGCATATAAATCTGTAATGGAAGGAAGATGGGGTAAGGGTTGGAGGGAGGAGCTAAAGGAGGTTTTGTGTGCGAGGGGCTTGGACTTTCAGCAATCGTGAGTGCTAGATAGGAGTGGAGACATATGGTTTTTATGACTTGACATGTTGTTGGAGTATGAGCAAAGCAACATTTATGAAGGGATTCAGGGAAACTGGTTAGTTGGGCTTGAGTCCTGGAAGAAGGGGTATTGATGTGTTGCAGTTTTTTTTAACTGTAGTGTAGGCATGCCTCTGTCAAGACAGTGATGGAGTGAATGATGATAAAATTGTTTCTTTTTTTTTTTGGATCGCCCTGCCTTGGTAGGAAACAACTAATGTGTTAATAAAAATTAAAAAAAATATAAGAATCAAACCTACAGTCTAGTAACATCTGTCAATAATTCTTACAATCATTACCCTTTCACTCATATTTACTTTTACATATTAATTACTTACCTTATATTTTGCAACAAGGTAATTCCACTTTTTCCTGAGTTGGTTAGGGTTCAGAATATGCTCAAGTCCTAGTTCCTCCATAATCTCCCTGTAGAAGAAAATGTTAGAAAGGAAGAGAATATGCAGAAAAATAAACTCATAGTAAACTCCAGTACTGGCAATTTCAAATTTCTTGGCTTAGTACCAAAAGCACTTTGAAATTCCTATCTTCTGGTTACAGCTGTTTCCATCACTATTAAGTGCTGGTGGTAAGTTTTTGAGTGATTAATCAGCAACCAGTGCAGAGGATACAATGGTATAAACCTTGGTAATAAATACCGACAAGTTGGTTTAGAAAGACACGTAAGCAAACACTATAACATATTTATTAGAAAACGTTTCGGTCCTGGGACCTTGATCACTTCTAACATACAGAAGTAGAAAGACATTATATATATAGGCGGAGAGTGAGGTGTGACGCACGTGACCTGAGGAATGTCATAAGAACATAAGAATGGAGGAACACTGTCGAAGGCCTACTGGCCCATGCGAGGCAGGTCCTTATCAAAACAACCTCTACCTATGATGAGGACGGGTAGACGATGAAATCATGTGACTCCTGTGTTGTTGGGTTGGTGCTGCTTAAGTATCATGTATGCCAATGTTTTTGAAATTTTGTAGTTTCCAGTGTTGCTTTCTATAGTGTCGGTGACGGCGATTAGTATGAAAAACTTCTTTCTGTGTATGGCTCAGTGAAGTATGATAATAATTAAATCCCCAAATCATCTGTCTTGGGGCAGTTGCTCGACTGACATTTATTAATGGAGAGGGGTATGATTCAGTATAGAAAATGAGGGGCCCCATGAGAAAACAGGAGACAGAACAGAGCTCTATGCTGCATCGATCTTGGGGTACAGGTCTAATGGAGTGGGGTGGGTGGGTGGTTAGTTATATTTCAAATTATCCCCCCAAATCAACTCTGATCAACACCGGAACTCAATGAAAGGACACCCCACCTCACTCCACAAGATACGAACATTGTGAGAGTTAAAAAAAAATCATAAATTATTTTTCTCCATTTTTTTTATCAAATACATTCACATTTTGTGTATTTTTTGTACGGGACTGGGCAAAAACTGTAGATTTAACAATTTTGATTTTGTTAAAGCTGTATTGCTTTTTTCACTAAATACATTATTTTGGGCATATCCCTTTTATAAATGTGTGGTAGGTTAGCAATTCTTTGATAAGATGTTAAGATTGGTCAAGCAATGCAGACTTAATAAATGCCCTGGTCTACTGGACAGTGAGGCAGTCACATTTTGTACATGATTAAGCTTGAAGTATAATCACACAGAAAAAGTTATACCACAACCACCCCACAGCACATGCCAGACAACGGCCTCTCCCAATCATTACAGATAGGGGATGGTGAGATTGTAAAGTATTGTGGCAGATACAATGGAAGAAGAGGGTATAAATGAATGGGAGGGAGGGAGAAGAGGGTTTTTTGGGTGAGAGAGAGAAGAGAGAGAGGTAGGAAGAGGTAGAGAGAGAGGTAGAGAGGGGAAGGGTAGAGAGGAGAGGGGGTAGAGAGAGGGGTAGAGAGAGAGAGAGGTAGGAGGAGAGGTAGTAGAAGAGTGGGTAGAGGGGAAAGAGGGTAGAGAGAAAGAGAGGAGAGAGGAGAGAGGAGTGGAGAGAGGAGAGGTGAGAGAGAGAGAAGAAAGGAGGGTAGAGAGAGAGAGAGAGGGGTAGAGAGAGAGGAGGTAGAGAGAGAGGGTAGGGATGAGAGAGGTAGAGGAGAGAGAGGTAGAGAGGAGGGTGTGGGGGCCTTATGTTATGTAAAAGGCCAATATTGTCAAAGTGCCAAAATTTGGGATCCACTTGAGGCAGCATAAAACAAGCTTTTATGCCACAAGAGGGGCAGAAAGCAGCAATTTCATTTTTTCCTGTACCCTTCCCCAGAACATCACCCATCTGGATCCTATATCCCCAGGTGAGGGTAAGGGAAAAAACTTTCGTACAGCATATGATGTCAAAAAAGATAAAATCAGTTGATCAAATGAAAATGCTGGCCCACAAGGCTCCAACTTTTCCTGTTCCCTACTTGTATATTCTAACAATAAAAATGCTTCAAATGAGTGATGTAGGTAAAAGCTCTTTCTTGCAATAAAGTTAGGAAACCTTAACCGTAAATGCTTGTCAATAAAAGCTAGGGATCCTTAAATTGTTTAAAAAACCCTGTGTAAAAAAAAAAAAACAGAGGTTTTGAGGAGAGGGGGGAGAGGGAGGTGGGAGGAGAGAGAGAGAGGAGAGAGGGGAGGGGAGAGAGAGAGAGAGAGAGAGAGGGAGAGGGGGAGAGAGAGAGAGAGGAGAGAGAGAAGAGAGAGAGAGAGAAGAGAGAGGGAAAAGAGAGAGAGGGAGGGGAAGAGAGTGAGAGAGAGAGAGAGAGAGAGAGAGAGAGAGAGAGAGGGGGAGAGAGGAGAGAGAGAGAGGAGGGGGGAGGGGGAGGGGGGAAAGAAGGGGAGAGAGAGGGGGGAGAGAGGGAAGAAAAAGGGCAGAGCAGGGAGAGACAGAGGAAGAGAGAAGAGAGAGAGGCAAAGAGAGACAGAGAGGGCGAGGGGGAGACGAGAGAGAGACAGAGAGAGGAAAGAAGAGAGAAAAGGGGAGGACAGAGAGAGAGACAGAGGAAGAGAGGAGAGTGGGGGAGAAGAGAGGGGGAGAGAGAGAAAACAGAGACAGAGGCGAGACAGAGACGAGAAACAGAGAACAAGAAAGGACAAGGAGGGCCAGTGTCGGAAGAAAAAGGAATTGGCAGACAGGACCCACCCGTTTAGAGACCCGTTTTCCCGAACAAACCCGGGTCTTGAATTTGGGGAACACTCTCACACGTCACCCCCTCAGCTACCCTATCCCAGCCCAGCAGGTGGTATTGGCCTTTACAAAACCCCGAACCCACATCCCTGC